CCCCCCCCCCCCCCCCGTCGCAACGTTCCCAAGACAGTGGGCCGCCTGCAGCGAGACCGGTTCAATTGGCAGTTGGCGCTGTGATAAGCGTGTCGCAATCCCATGGTCGCGGTCACGCCATATGCTCCCACACAATGCCGCGACGCGTTTGCGGGGACTCCTCTCCGATGGCCACCCGCAAGCCATTCATCTTCTCGAGCCTCTGGTTGTTGTACATGTTAGTGATGGGTACATATTAGTGATGGGGCTGACGCTCTTGGCGACTTCTTTTAGTAACCTTTGCGTGCGAGTTGCAGTGTGCGTCCGGTAGCGGTCCATTGCCCATGGGTGTCGTTGGAGGCTCCCCCCCCCAATCGAGTGGTGCCAATTCGTAATGACTCGTCTGAACAAGTCGTCATGTCGGTGATGGTCCGACAATCTGTCCGTATGTTGCAGATTGTTGCAACAGATCTGGAGCCCAAAGGGCTTTCAGCACCGGCACACAACCCAGACGGATGCCCCCACGCCGTCTACCATGCCTTCCCCCAGGCCGATCACCTCGAGGCCATTACCCGGCATCATTTTTCTGCGTATGACACCATAGATAGACCATATTCTCGCCAATGGCAGCCCGAGCGATGTCAAAGATATTGCCGTCTCGCATGGGGTCTTGCGTGCTTGATGTTCATGGCGTCGAGGGCCTCGTGGTCGTTGAGCCTCAGAGTATAAAACACGTGCGGCGCACGCATGCCCGCGGAGATGTCTCGTCCATCGGATCCTGATCTGAGCATCCCGATCTGGGCGTCGAATCAGCACCATTGTCTTACGTATTCGTTGTCTTAGCGAACGCTTGAAAGCACTGCCGCTGTCCCCCTTTTGGCCAGTCTCAACGGCGTGATCACGGATTACTGAACTGCCATGGCTGGCATTTCTCCGGCTGGGGGTCCCTTCCAGGACAGCCCTACGGAGAAGCGACGTCTCGAGGAGACGCAGGACGACAAGCTGGGCTCCAGCCCTGCACGATTCCATCACCGATGAGGAGAGCAGACCCGCCAGGACGGGCCACTACGGATCGACCGAGGACCACGTTTTCTCCCGACCCTTCGGTTGCGGACTACTGGCGCAAGGTCTACGAGCAGGCGGGGTACGAGAACCGGCACCGTTTCGACCCCACGCTGGAGTGGACTGCCGAAGAAGAGAAGAAGCTGGTGAAGAAGGTGAGATCGCTACAGCCCGATCGGGATGATCTGCCTGGAGGGACAATGGCTGACAGACGCAGATTGATTGGCGCATCTTGCTGTGGGCATGGATCATGTTCGTGGCGCTCGATCTCCACCGAAAGAACATTAATCGTGCCATTTCCCCACAACATGGTTCGTACAATGCAGCGTGATGCGCATGCACGTGCTGATATGTGGTGTAGTTGCCCGAGCTGGGCATGGACACAAACGACTTCAACTATGGCCAAACTGTCAGTGTCATGATTTCAGTCATCGAGAAGAACACGACTAATGCTGCGTAGATTTTCCTCGTGTCGTTTCTCTCGGCCGAACTGCCCAGCGGTCTCATCAGCAAGAAGCTCGGTGCTGACAGGTGGATTCCCTTCCTGATCGTGTCTTGGTCCATCGTTGCGGGCTCACAGGCGTTCCTGACCAACCGCGCCGGCTTTTACGCCATCAAGGCTCTGCTTGGCCTGCTGATGGGCGGATTCATTCCGTACGTCGCCATTGTACATATCTTTCTGGCGCTATTGCTGACCCTCGCAGGGATGTTGTCCTGTACTTGACCTACTTTTACAAGTCGAATGAGCTTCCCGTGAGGCTGGCGTGGTTCTGGACAGCCCTCAGCACGTCGAACATTGTCGGTTCTCTGGTGGCCGCTGGTGTCCTGCAGATGCGAGGCGTCAATGGCTGGGCTGGATGGCGCTGGCTGTACGTACCCTGCAACGATGGCGTGTCCCGGCAATGTACTAACAGACTGCCGCCAGCTTCCTCCTCGAGGCCATCTTCACCATCATCGTCGGCATTTTCGCGTGGGGCCTCATGCCGCCTGGGCCGTGTCAGACGGCCAACTGGTTCCGCGGCCAGAAGGGCTGGTTCAGCGAGCGCGAGGAGCTCATCCTCGTCAACCGGCTGCTGCGCGACGACCCGAGCAAGGGCGACATGAACAACCGGCAGGCGGTGGGCGGCAAGAAGCTCTGGCTCGCCGTCAGCGACTGGGAGCAGTGGCCGCTGTACCTCATCGGGCTGACGACGTACATCCCGCCGTCGCCGCCCAACACGTACCTCTCGTTCATCCTACGGCAGCTCGGCTTCTCCGTCTTCGAGGCGAACCTACTGGCGATGCCGTCGCAGTTCCTCTTCGCCGTCAACCTGCTCATCATCTCGTGGGTGTCGGAGCGCGTGCGGGAGCGGGCCATGGTGTCGTCGACGTCGAACATTTGGATCTTCGCGTGGCTCGTGCCGCTCGTGACGCTGCGCGCCGACGCGAGCCCCTGGGTGCGCTACGCGCTGCTGACGGGCCTGCTGAGCTACCCGTACTGCCACGCCATCCTCGTCGGCTGGAACGCCAAGAACAGCAACTCGGTGCGCACGCGGGCCGTCAGCGCGGCGCTGTACAACATGTTTGTGCAGAGCGGCAACATCGTGGCGTCCAACATTTACCGCGAGGACGACAAGCCGCTGTACCGCCGGGGCAACAAGATCCTGCTCGGCATCTGCTGCTTCAACATTGTGCTGTTCTATGGCGTCAAGGCGTTCTACGTCTGGCGGAACAAGACGCGTGACGCCCGGTGGAACGCGCTGACGAAGGCGCAGCAGGACGACTACCTGCTGAACACCAAGGATGAAGGCATGAAAAGGCTGGATTTCCGATTCTCTCACTGAGGACCTTTGCGTAGGGCGGTGAGAGAGGAATGGAGAAAGTACATGTCAAAGGGTCACACACACCCTATTATTTGAAGGTGTCGGAAGAGAAGCCTCGTGGTGCTGGGTGCATGCAGAGGTCTTGGTGGGAAGGCGCTCAGTGGCGTTCAGCTGTCTGGGAGCCTCGTACTGCCTGCCACGTTCACATAACCACGTAGCAGGCACCTCGCTTAAATCGATACCTCTTGAACATGCCATATTTTCATCACTACCCGTCGTCCATGTGGTTCCAAGAATGCATTGAACTCCTCACTACGAATTTCGCGCTCCAATTCTCCTCGTGGTGCATTCCTCAAACACGAAAACGCAGGCCCTCCACCACAACCCAATATAATGTACCTTAGGTGG